TACAAGCCATCAACAGTGGAGGGAGTAAGACATTCCAGTTATCTTGGCGGCTATTACAAAACGTTGCCAATTCCTGTCCCAGTGTCCAATTGTACTTTACTACCATCCCATTGGACTGTGGGTGAAGTGGCGTTGTCCTGGTCTTTCGGATGCCACACAACTTGCAGCACTCTTGGAATACAGCTGATTCGAAGTTACGGCCTTGATCTGAATGCAGATCATATGGCATACCAAATCTGAAGAAGAAATCACTAATAGCCGAAGCTACCGTTGTAGCTTCCTGATTTGGTATTGCATATGCCTCAGGCAACTTGGTAAAATAATCCATCACCACACAAATGTACTTGTTTCCAGCACGAGTTTGGGCAGAGGAGCAGCAATGTCAACGGCTACTCTTTCCATTTGTGCGCCAACTTGATATAGCTTCCTTGGAGCACGTCCCTTATGCTTGGGTCCCATTTTAGCACAACATGTACTGTATGTTCTGCACCATTCTTCCACATTTTGCCTCATACCTATCCAGTAAAATCTATATCGTAGGTGACTCCGAGATGTCCTCCTGTTAAAGTATCATGGGATTGACGCAGCACAACGTCCCGTAACTTTCTCGGTATAATCGTTTGCCACGTTTACTGCTTTCTGCTCCTCTGTCAACCCATTCATTTTTGCCAGGAGCTCAAATTGTGCTCTATATGCTTCCCACGGTGCCTTCCCATCGAATGTCTGTGGCTTCCTTCGTATTAGTTCACCCCTATTGCTGACATTCATATCTGGGATATGACTTCTAACAGGACTGAAGATGTCTGCATTAGGGTTTATCTGCGGGATATGGAAGGGCTTGCCGTTGTCTGGGGCTGATTAAGTCGATGGTTAATGTATCCTCCTTGTGTAAATAACAATAAATCGTCCTTTAATGTATCTAATTCGCTTTTAAATTTACTAATGTTATCCATTTGTACTTCTTGCCACTGTTGTTGACTTTCCTTTAGTTGCTGCTGACTTTCCTGCACCTGTTGGAGACTTTCTTCCTGTTTCCTTTCTTGTTCTAGTTGCAACTACTGTAATCTCTCTTCTTGTTTATTTTCTTTTTCCTCCAACAACTGCTGTAATTTCTCTTCTTGTTTATTTTGCTGTTCAAGCTGCCACTGTTGCAGGTTTTCTTGCAACTGTTGTTGTCTCTCTTCTTGTTTCTTTTCTTTTACCTCCAACCCCTGTTGTAATCTCTCTTCTTGTTTATTTTGTTGGTCGAGCTGCCACTGTTGCAGGTTTTCTTGCAACTGCTGTTGTCTCTCTTCTTGTTTCTTTTCTTTTTCCTCCAACAACTGTTGTAATCTCTCTTCTTGTTTCTTTTTTTCCTCCAACAACTGCTGTAATCTTTCTTGTTTATTTTGTTGTTCCAGCTGCCACTGTTGCAGGTTTTTTTGCAACTGCTGTTGTCTCTCTTCTTGTTTCTTTTCTTTTTCCTCCAACAACTGCTGTAATTTCTCTTCTCCTCCTTCTTCTTGTTTATTTTCTCCTTCTTGTTTCTTTTGCTGTTCTTGTATTGCTGCCATCAAATCTGCTAAGCTGTAGTTTGATTTGCCGCCTCTCGTTTCCATCTTCTTCTTCTTCTTTTTTATTTTCTATCCCACTTCTGACACCAATTTGTTACGTCTCTGTTCGTTAGTTAATTTTCCGTAAATTCGTTTATATTGAAACTGTATGTTTATATCGAAGATTTTCTATTACAACTGTAGGTTTGTGTTAAAGATTTTGTGGTTATATTTGTTTATTTGTAGTTAAGCACAAAACTCCACAAAGGGCTTTCTGTGTAGTGGCCACCACTGGTATTGAAACCCTGTCTTTAGTATTATAACCCTTCAGACTTGCCCATGAGCCACTGGGGACTTTTATTTATAATTACACATTTATATCGAAGATTTTTCGTCATAATTGTAGACTTGTATTAAAGAATTTTGGTTGTACTTTGAGGTTTAATTAAGAATTTTGGTTGTACTTTGAGGTTTAATTAAGAATTTTGGTTGTAATTACAAATTTATATTAAGATTTTTTGGTTATAATTTCAGGTTTATATTTAACATTTTTTGGTTATAATTATATTTTTATATTGAAGATTTATGTTAGAATTGCAGAATTGTATGACTTAGGGAAATAAAACTTTGTAGAATTTCTCTCATTTATTGCTCTATAGAAATACTGGTATTCAACATAAGGTCTAGAAATGTTGGAAATTTTACTATCATAAATGTACACACTGATTCATACCACAAAAAAGTTACTTGGTGTTAAAACAAACAGTTTGCATGGTCTTATCATGAAGCAATGCAAGTGCAAAGCTGAGGAAAATATCATTCATCTGTGTTATTATGGGAAACTAATAGAATGTGTCAAAATTTGACAACATATGTTTACCCGTGATATTTGAAGCCATGACCTAAAACTACGGACTATCAAATTCATATTGGAAAAATTGTTTACAAAATCTTGTAAGCAATGTTTTTAATATTCGCACCATCAGGGACATAAATTTTTAAACAACTGAATGACTGTACCACAGATAGAGCTACATAGAGGTGACTATGAGAAAAAATTGGCTCAGGTGCAACAGTGACAAAGTATATTGTTCAAAATGTCTTGAGATGTTCCCTTCCAATTTGATGTAGTCATTGACCACTTCAGAGGTGACTGCCACAAAGAATTTTAGAACATTGGAAAATTTATTAAATAGTTTAATCCGTCCACTAGCCTTGAGCCCATGACTCGTATATTACTACACTCGGTAAATAAATCAGTTTAGTAAACTAGACAGATCTGAATTTTGCGTTACCCAGTTATTTCTTATTGAGCATTATATTTGAATTAAAAACTTAAGATATTTTATTCTACGAGTTTCTAATGTTTTTCACTTTTACCAGAACATGCTAATTCAACAAAATAAATATAACAGGTAACATCGCTTTTACTAAATTATAACATTTTCCAAAGTCATAAGTGGTTTTAATTTATTTATTTTCACAGTAACATAGACCTTTAGTCAGGATTAAACAAAGACATTACATACATCAGATATAATTACATAAAAATGTAAAGAATTTCAAGACACCATTTTCTCAGTATCAAATCATACCACCACCATCATTGACAACAACACCAGAGAGAGTTTATCAAAATTATCTTAAAATGTACTCAAATTAAATTTCTGTAGCTATAACAGGATTATCAAGTGTACGAGTTTCAACTTTTGAACTTGTATATTTCTAGCAGCAAAACCCAAAACTTGTCATAACTACTATACCTAACCAATTAACAGGAAACAAAATCCACAGTTAAAAGTTATTAAAAAACTGTGAAACACTTAATGCTACAAGTTCCACAAATGTTGAAAACCCTGGAGAATTTCCAAAAAAATACACTAAACACGACAAAGTAGCCTAATCACTTTCCTTGTACTACTTATTTATAAATTATAAGTTTGCTTAAACAAATAATAGAAAAAATGACTACAAAATTAATATTTAAAAATATCATAGATTGTTGTTAACGTGTATGAGTTGAAATGTTTCTGAAACATTTATTTTACAATTTAGTAAAAAATCGTATTAAATTTCCTTTCTTCTATTACATTTTAACATTTTTTGTTTGTTCACCATTTACTAATTTTACAATATCATTACAAAAGGTTTCAGCAATGGATTAATTAAGACTTTTGAGGAAAAAAAAGTGCTGGCAATCATATAAATCTATATTGAATGCATCTGAACTTTAGTTGTTTTTTTTGCTGGGAACTCTTAAGGTATATCGTATATTTTTAACAGTTTATATTCCCTTATAAGGTCCTTAAATACTGTGTAAGTTATTTGGTCATCGCTTACAGGAGTGTAAAGAGTTTGAGTAAGTACAGTGTTTGTAAAGTCCTATACTAATATCAGTACTTGAAGAACAAGTAATGTAATGACACGACGTAATTATTATTTGATATTCTTCAATGACCATAATACTTGAAATATACTTTCTTCATATCAACCAATTTTGTATTTTTAGCAAAAAAAGAAATTTAAGGCTTTCTCTGTTCTTGGACTTGATTGGCTTAAACCAATAACAATTAAACAAACAAGAACAGACCAGGCCTAACCAATTTTTTTTGCTTAATAATATACAAAATGTCTGTACACTGTTAATAAAGCCTTGCAGCAATATAAACATAATGATTATGCATCTTAGAATCATAAATATTCACTATATCTTTTACATTATTTTTGTTCTACAAAATAACTACTCACAAGAAAGGCATATACAAATCATTAAAAAACAGCTAAAAATAGCATCAAATTAGTGATGATTATATGAGCTGAATTTTCTTTCTCTAGGGGGTGGGGCATGCACTCAACACCTATGGTGATCTTCTTAATATTGTCATTCTACAGTAATGTTAGTTAACCTGTAGAGTTTCACTCTAACAGAGTGGATCTAATAATAAATGTAATAATAATCTTTACACAAATACTTTTATTTCTGAGCTAGTGCCCTTTATTGAATCTTCTTCATCTGAAAACTGTAACTGTAGTAAAGTTATACAAAAAAATTACATTAAAACTTTTTCATATTAGTTGACTTCATTAGCCTGAGGCATCTTTGGCTCTTTCACAATCTGTTAAAAACATTTTGTATAAAGTAGAATGACAATTGTAGATTAATACCAACATTTAATACAAGAATCACCAGAAAAAGTTTTAGATTTATATATATATATACTGACAAATAGTGATAGAGCTTGTGACAAATCAAACAAATGAAATATCAAGGTAGAAGCAAATAATCAATAGAACATATTTTGTGCAAGAAACTATATGTCAATGATTAGGATAAAAAGACAATTTAGAAAGACTTCTGAAATTAATAAACTACAAGAACATACACCATTTTAAAGTATGTTAAAGTAGCACAAGTATCACTTAAGCCTACTTGTACAATCTAACGAGGTGCTATGTTCTCATGGTTTCATCCATTAGTTTTGAAGGATAAAAGGCACATCCTGTTATTTGAACATGTTCTAAGGATAACCAATGATAGGTCACAGACTAGAGGTCACTCTCTCCATAGAGGGCAGTGGAGAAAGACATGTAGTCAAGAGCTCCGGGTTCTGCCTCTGACCCACTGTAGGGTACCATCCTTTGAATACAGTACTCAGCTTGGTCTGGAGGAAGCTCTCTGCGAAGTACATCTGCTGTTATATATGGCTGTAGTAAGTAAATAGAAATATATAAGTACTTTTTGTTTCCAAAGTATGACAAAAAAAGCATTTTCTATTCACTACTTTCTACAATATATTTGATTTTTTGTTTTCTTAATTAGCTATAATAAGCTGATTTATTCCATAACAATCAATTGAGAACAAATCTGACTTAGAAACAAACCCAATGGCCATGGATATAATGTTTATTCTATAATTCGAAGAAAATTCAAAATTATCTTATTTATAGTGGCAAGGACACAATTGTCCAATAAAGAGTATATATCTTGTATAATTAAACAATAATACAATTAATAATTTTATAATGATATACACTTCATACAATATACTTGTGACAAGAAAACAGGAGCAACCATTATTAATTTGATTCTTTTGTAATTAATTTTTAATAATTCTGTAGCTGAAAAACTCTTATATTCTGTAACAACATAACATCTAGATTTAACCAACTTCATACCTTGTCTCCAGACAAGATTCTGAAGGAATCAATTATCTGCTCAGCCGTATCTGTGTCAGTTTTCTCTCTAGTCATGAAGTCAAGGAAGGCATCAAACAGAACGTAACCTGTGTTGTTTGGATCCACGCTACTTAGAATCCTCTTGAATTCAGCATCTCCCTGAAATGTCACAAAACTAATCAAACACAATAATTTAAAAGAAACTTACACAAGATAATGTTAGTTTACATTATTTAATACTCACAGCACAAGAAAATGTGGGTGGTTTATACTTGCAGCACAAGAAAATGTGGGTGGTTTATACTCACAGCACAAGAAAATGTGGGTGGTTTATACTCGCAGCACAAGAAAATGTGGGTGGTTTATACTTGCAGCACAAGAAAATGTGGGTGGTTTATACTCACAGCAAAAGAAAATGTGGGTGGTTTATACTTGCAGCACAAGAAAATGTGCGTGGTTTATACTCGCAGCACAAGAAAATGTGGGTGGTTTATACTCGCAGCACAAGAAACTGTGGGTGGTTTATACTCACAGCACAAGAAAATGTGGGTGGTTTGTACTCACAGCACAAGAAAATGTGGGTGGTTTATACTTGCAGCACAAGAAAATGTGGGTGGTTTATACTCACAGCACAAGAAAATGTGGGTGGTTTAATTGTAAGAAAAAATATGAATAAAATAAGTAACTTGCCAATTCATTTGTTCATGATTTTAAAAAAATGTTTTGAAGTATTTAAAAGGTATATCCTGAATATAATTAGTATTTAAGAAGTTTATCACTATATAATCCAGTATTTAAGAAGTTTATCACTATATAATCTGGTATTTAAGAAGTTTATCACTATATAATTAGTATTTAAGAAGTTTATCACTATATAATCCAGTATTTAAAAAAGTTTATCACTATATAATCCAGTATTTAAGAAGTATATCACTATGTAATCTAGTATTTAAGAAGTATATCACTGTATGTAATTCAGTATTTAAGAAGTATATCACTGTATGTAATCCAGTATTTAAGAATTATATCACTGTATATAATCCAGTATTTAAGAAGTATATCACCGTACATAATCCAGTATTTAAGAAGTATATCACCGTATATAACCTAGTATTTAAGAAGTATATCACTGTATATAACCTAGTATTTAAGAAGTATATCACTGTATGTAATTAGTATTTAAGAAGTATATCACTGTATATAACCTAGTATTTAAGAAGTATATCACTGTATGTAATCCAGTATTTAAGAAGTATATCACTATGTAATCCAGTATTTAAGAAGTATATCACTATGTAATCTAGTATTTAAGAAGTATATCACTATGTAATCTAGTATTTAAAAATGTATATCACTGTATATAATCTAGTAGTGCATATATGATATAGCATTTGAGATAAATTACTGTATATACATAATAAAACATTTGAGATAAGCTACAGCGTATATAATATTTTTTCTGATAAACTTGCATATGTCATCGTTCAGCATAGTTGTCAATCTCTCTTACTGAATGGGTAAAGACAAAGGATGTAACTGTTTTTACACAACTCTGACTTGAAGCCCGTAACGGTTGTGTTAACAGGAATGTAAAAAAAAAACTGTTTAATGCGACTTTTTATCACATATATTAGGCCCGTAAAATTCTTACCTGTTTATCATTCCTTATATTAAACCCTAGACTGACAAGACAAGACTTGAATTCCTCTGGTTGGAGATGTCCAGACTTATTTTTGTAAAATTCTTACCTGTTTATCATTCCTTATATTAAACCCTAGACTGACAAGACAAGACTTGAATTCCTCTGGTTGGAGATGTCCAGACTTATTTTTGTCAAAATGATTAAAGGAACTCCTACACTCAGTCAGCTGTTCCTGGGTAATTCCTTTTGAGTCACGCATCAAAATCTGCCAAAAAAAATAACAAAATACTAAACACTTGTCAGTGTTGTTTACATTCAGTCTTTAAAAAAATGAGTCTTATCTTAATTACTTTATTTTAATTTGTAAAAACCTCAACACAAACATGTTTTCCACTGATTGCTAGGATACAACTAACTGGTAGTTTTGCAACAGCTGTACAATTTTCCCATCAGTTCCACTAGGTATCCTTATTTGCTATCTGACAAAACTAGTCCAGTTATCTTCAGTACAAACACAAACAATGATCAATTAACTGTATTCTTATTTAACTCACAGGTTGCAACATTATAAATATTTGGAACAATTTCCAAAATTACTTTCTTTGAAAGATACTTAAACACAAATATCTTTATTTAACCATTTCATATTTTTTGTCAGTTCAATTTTATTCATGTCTAAAATATATTTTACATCTTAGAACTCACTTTGGAAAGTCAACAATATGATTTTAAAGCTAATGTGGTGACAACACACTTTGGAAAGTCAACAATATGATTTTAAAACTAGTTGTCACCACACACACTTTGGAAAGTCAACAATATGATTTTAAAACTAGTTGTCACCACACACA